AGCAGAACAGCTCTGCCATGGTGTTCCTCTCCTCTTGTGCTTCCAGAGGGATGCTCCAGTGGAGGAGCTGGCTGGGAGGTGACCTGGCTGGAAGGACTCTGAGGGGCTGGAGCGTGTCCAGGGAAGGGAACAGAGCTGGGAAGGGGCTGGAGCCCCAGGAGAGGCTGAGGGAGCTGGGAAGGGGCTGAGCCTGGAGCAAAGGAGGCTCAGGGGCCCTTGTGGCTCTGCACAGCTCCTGCCAGGAGGGGACAGCCGGGGGGTCGGGCTGTGCTCCAGGGAACAGGGACAGGACAAGGAGAAACCATCTCAGGCTGGGCCAGGGCAGCTCAGGGTGGTGGGAGGTGACCTGGCTGGAAGGACTCTGAGGGGCTGGAGCGTGTCCAGGGAAGGGAACAGAGCTGGGAAGGGGCTGGAGCCCCAGGAGAGGCTGAGGGAGCTGGGAAGGGGCTGGAGAATTCCTGAGGGAGCTGGGAAGGGGCTGAGCCTGGAGCAAAGGAGGCTCAGGGGGCCCTTGTGGATCTGCACAGCTCCTGCCAGGAGGGGACAGCCGGGGGGTCGGGCTGTGCTCCAGGGAACAGGGACAGGGCAAGGAGAAACCATCTCAGGCTCCTCCAGGGTGGGTTCAGGTTGGATATTTCAGAAAATTTCTTCCTGGAAAGGGTGGTTAGGCACTGGAAAAAGCTTCCCAGGGCAGGGGTGGAGTCCCCATCCCTGGAGGGATTTAAAAGCCACGTGGATGTGGCACCTGGGGACATGGCCAGTGGTGGCCTTGGACTCCACAACGAACAGCTGGACTCCACGATCTCAGGGGGCTTTTCCAACTCCAACAAATCTGTGATTTTTTTAATCCTGCCTGGTGCCAGAGCCTGCAAACAAGCTGGGTTTGAAATGGGACCAAGTTCCTCACCCCTGTCTAACAGCAGTGAAGTGAGGCTTGTCCAGATGGAGCCGTCCCACCCCTCCAGCACCCAGTGCCTCCAAAATCATCCAGCCCAGCTCCCTCCTCACCTCCAAATCAGCGTGCATGAGCTCCATCACTGCCAGCTGGGCTGTGGAGGAGGAAAACCAGAGCACTCCTGCTGATGCAGAGTTCAAATGATGCTTTTCTCTGTTTCTTGGAGCCTGCTCAGCTCTCCTGAGCCCTCAGCTGTTGTGTTTGCGGGGAATGCCCCAACAAAGGCAGGGATGATGAATGTGACTCCATGGGCTGATGCAGAGTTCAAATGATGCTTTTCTCTGTTTCTTGGAGCCTGCTCAGCTCTCCTGAGCCCTCAGCTGTTGTGTTTGCGGGGAATGCCCCAGCAAAGGCAGGGATGATGAATCTGACTCCGTGTTCTCAGAAGGCCAATTTATTATTTTATTATACTATATTATATTAAAGAATATTATACTAAACTATACCAAAGAATACAGAAAGGATATTTACAGAATGCTAAAAATGTAATAATAAAAACTCGTGACTCTTTCCACAGTCTGACACAGCTTGGCACTGATTGGCCAAAGAGTGAAAACAACTCAGCAGAATCCCCTGAAACAATCACCTGTGGGTAAACAATCTCCAAACACATTCCACACAGGAGAAGCAAATGAGATCAGAATTGTTTTCCTTTTCTCTGAGGCTTCTCAGCTTCCCAGGAGAAAAATCCTGGGCGAAGGGATTTTTTCAGAGGATGTGAATGCCACACTCAGCCTTCTGCTCCCATGCTTGTGCTGGGACAAGGCAGAATCAGAGAGTGACAGAAATGCCTTTGTCAGCCGTGCCTGGGAAGGAGGAGGGTTATGGAGCTATTAGTGAGCACAAAGAGGGGACAGATTCTCTCCTGAGTGCTCTGGGGACAGAAGGATTTAAATGCTTCGCTCCCATTAATGCTAATGTGAATCACAGAGGTCTCTTCTTACTGCCTTGGACTGAGAGCATTGAAAAAAGAAGCAGCTTTCCACAAAGGATAAATCCCCTTGATTTTAAGGCACCGCTAAATGGGATTTTTCTTCATTTCACACTCATTAATTTCCCTGCCTGTGCTGGTTGAGGGCTGGGCTCAGCTCCACTCCAGCACATGGCAGCTGCCCAGTGGGTGATCCCAGGGATGGTGTCCCCAGAGAGGGTTCCCGACCCCAAAAAGCCACAAGGATTTTGTTGTCACGTGGAGATGCAAAGTGCAGCATTCCAGGTCGCTGCAGCGTGTCAGAAATATTCACAGTTATTTGAATATATCACACAATATTCCTCTTTGGAGGACTCCAGTGCCTAAAGGGGCTCCAGGAGAGGGATGTGGGACAAGGGATGAAGTGACAGGACAAGGGGGAATGGCTTCCCAAGGGAGACCCATCTGGAGATGGGAATGAAGCTCCTGCTGGTGAAAAGCCAAACCTTGGAGCTCCTGTGCCCACCCGTGTTTAGGAACTAGCCTTAAAATTCTGGAAAAATTCCACTTTTCAGACTAGATAATGCTCTTCCCTCACTTGCACTGGAGGCATCAGGAATGTCTGGAGCAGAGGGAAGGGCTGAGCTGAGACAGGGGTGGAGTGAGCCCACAGGCAGGGATGCTCTGAGCTGATGGACCATTTTTTTGTGGAGGCTCCAAGCTTGGAGCCATTGTGCTGCAAGGCTGGGGGTGCCTGGGGTGAGGGAACCTCCATGGACAGCACACACAGGCACCACAGAGCTCTTATTAATTTTTAAGCCCAGTTTTAAAAAGCTTTCCCATCAGGAAAGCCTCAAAGAATTATGTTGATCTAAAGATACCCTTTATGAAATTCATGTTAATGGGAGAGAGAAAAAAAAACAGCCTTTTAAAGACATTAAAGGGAAAAAAAAAATAACAACCCAACATGCTGCAATTTTAATGAGGAGCTTGTAAACACAACCACCCCCTGCTGATTTTTTCCATTAATTGCCGGTGTTACCAGGGACCTGGGCTCTGCAGCAACACAGCTCTCAGCAAAACACCTTGCTGGGCTTGGGGCATCCTCCCAAGCCCGGGAGGGCTGAGGAAGGTGATGGAGGCTTTGGAAGAGGCAGGGCTGGGCTGGCCCTGCTGGTCCCTGACCTTGCCTGGAGGGAGGAGGGATGGGGGGACCTGCAGAGCTGATTTAGCAATCCCGTTTTTATTAGAGATGCATTCCCTGATTAGCTCCACATCCTAAGGATAAATTACAAAGGAAATGCAGGAAGCACTCGGGTGAGATTAAAGTCTCCCGGGGAAGCAGCAGCGAGGTCATTTTCTGGGCCATTATTTCTGGGCCATTAAAGGGTTGCCACGGCTCAATGCTGGGTTTTACTCTTTATTTCAGCCCAGAAAGAGCTGGAATCTCTTCCCTTCTCCCCTCTCCCACACTGGCATCCAGGGGGGCACAGCACTGCTGGGAAGGGGTGCCAGCCCAGTGCCCACATCCTCATCCCTGCAAGGATGGGCACAGTCGATTTTTGGAGATTTGGGGACAAATCAACCACCTTCCCAACACCTTTCTGTGTCTGCCTCAAAGAAAGATCACCCCCCAAAACCCACGGGGTGTTGGCAGCCAATTTGCAGCCCACAAAAGAGGCAAAATGTCTCCCAGAGGGAAATTGCTGAGGGTGATTTGGCCAGCTCTTGACATAATCCACACTCTGCTGTGATGGCAGAAGGGGGAGACTGGGAAGATTCCCGGGTGAGTGTTCAGAAAGAGCCGTGGAAATGAAAAGGAAAAAGCATTTGATGAACATAATGATTGTTATTACCACGTTCTGCTGCTCAGGGCCAGGGCTGTGGGAGTGTTCCCACTCCAAAGGGAGAAGGAGCAGTCAGTATTTTGCAGGGAGACCTTGACCTTCTGTTGGATTATGGTTTTTTTCTGACCTAGAGATGGGGCAACTGAGAGGTGTTTTAAAACTGTTATTCCATTTTCAGGCTCATGTGAAGGGTGAGACAATACAGATGTTATAATTCACACCATCACAATCAGAAGCCAACTCTTTCCTAATTACAATACATTTCAAGTGTTTCTTGGCCTATCAGCCTTTGCCATACCATGCTGTAAATGCCTTAAAGCCAATCATCTAAAATTACCCCTCATGAGTCCTACTACAATACATCTCCCACAGTTCTGTTTCTCCAAAGTATCTAGTCTTTTTTAGCAAAGCCATCCTTTAAAACTTGTTTCAGGTTCAATTTCTCTCTCAACAATCTCTATCCTATTCCATAACATTTCTAAATCAGCATTTCTGATCTCAAACTTTCCATACAGTTGCACACTATATAAACTTTCTGTCAAGCTTTAAGAATTTTCTTAAATAAATCCATTTCCCCCAACCTTCACTTCCAGGAGGCTTTGGGTGATTTTCAGTCTGACTGGGGTGGCCTGACCTGTGTTCCCAGCAGATTTTTGGTGATCCTACAGGATTTTTGGTGATTCCCTGGAGGACACAGATCCAGGGGAGGGAGCAAGTGGCTCACTGTGAGAGCCAGGGTGGATGTGGCTTGTCCCTGATCACCCAGGGAAACCTGTGGACGAGGTGGACACTGAATATCTTGAATATCTGCTTCCCAAAGCCAGGGTATGATGGTTAACCCTCCTCTTCCTCTCCTTGCACTCAGGCACACCTTGGTGGGATGCTGGTTCTGAGCCCAAACCCCACACAATCCTATCTCTTTGGTGAAAACCATTGAGATGGGCTCATTTCAGATGAAATTAAATCTTCATCTGGTCTCTGATATCTTGTGGGTGTCCAGTCCATCAGCTGCATTGCAGGGGCTCTGATGTGGGTGAGGTGGGAGAAGCTGCCCACATTTCCACAGCTTGCCTGTTAGCAGGGCAAGGTCTGTGCAGGTGGCTGAAGTTGTTGCTTTTGTTTTTCTGTTGTTTCCACGGATTTTCCTGATTGTCACAAGCTGTTTCTGCCTGTTAGTTCCATGACTGAGGGTGCTTGAGAGGGACCTGTGTGGAGTCAGTTGTGTTTGTGTTGGGGGATGGATGAGTCCTGGACATGGAAATGACCTTGCTGTTTGTTTCCCCTGCAGAGCCAGCTCTCCCAGGCCCTGAATGGATTGTCAGACAGAGCCAAGGAGGCAAAGGAATTCCTGGTCCAGCTCCGCAACATGGTGCAGCAAATCCAGGTACTGAGTCTGCAGGATGAGAAACTGCCCCTTCCCACCAGGATGAGCCATCCCCTCTTCCTCCTCCCAAGCTTGGTTGGGTGGGTGCTCTCCCAAAGAAACAAGCAGGATGGGACTGCAGGGGCTGCAGTGGGATTGGACACTGAACTGCAATGTGCACATGGAGCAGAGCTGAGCCCAGGGAGAGACCCCGGCAGCGCTCGTGCATTTTGGGACCATTTGGGTTCATCCTGGGGGCAGCCCTGGCTGGGCTCTGGTGCTGCCCAAGGTGGATCCATGGAGGAGATCCTTGCAATAAATCCCTACTTTAACTCCACCCAGCCTGTGTTCTAGGACAGCTTCTCAAGGCATCACCACCTCCACATTTTCCACCATCCCAGGCCATACAAATCCCACATCCAATACTGTGGATTCCTGGGGGCAGAAAAATGCAAAAACGACCCCTGTGGCACCATTAAAAAGGAATCCATGGATCTCCATCCCACTGTTTGCTCCTGTCCCACGGCCTCTGTCCCACCCCCATCCACCCTCGTTACCAGCTGGGCTTTGTCACTGGCCAGGCCTGGTCCTTAAAACAAGAAACAGCCCCTGGGTTTGTGACTGGACTCTTAAACTGGGCCTGGAGCCTCCCTCCCTGGAGCTCCTCAGCTGCACGTGCTGTGGGAAGGGCAGGAAGGGCTCTCTGGTGCCCTGGCAGATGTGGCACCTGAGCCTCATGCAGGTGGAATCAGAATTATGGAATGGTTTGGGTTGGAAGGGACCTCAAATCCCACCCAGTGCCACCCCTGCCATGGCAGGGACACCTCCCACTGTCCCAGGCTGCTCCAAGCCCTGTCCAGCCTGGCCTTGGGCACTGCCAGGGATCCAGGGCACCCTGTGCCAGGGCCTGCCCACCCTCCAGCCAGCAATTCCTTCCTCATGGCCTCATCTGAACTTCCCCCTGGAGTGGGTGAGGCTGCAGTGGTTGGCACTCACTCTGAGATGACCCTGGGCCATTTCCACCTGCAGATAAGCAGGAGGTCACCTCCTGCCCTGTGCTTCCCTGGAGCTGGGGCCAGGGTGAGTCCTGCAGGGCTCTGGGGTTTGTCCTGGCCCATGTTCCCCTCAGCACAGGACACTTTGGCACTGCTGGCACCATCACCCTTTCCCACAGGAGGCCTGTCCTGGGTGTCCACTTGTCACTGCCCCATCCTGGAGCATTTCCCCCTTGGAGAGATGAGTGTCCAGTGAGCCCTGGCAGTGCCAGGGAGCCCTTCCAGGGCCCAGCTGGTGTCTCCAGCAGCCAGCACGGAGCCACAGTGTCCTGGCTCCTGTCCTGGAGTCTCCCTGGGCTGCTGCTCCTGCCCAGTGGGATTTTGGCCATCCTGGCACCGTGGGATGCAGGGAGGAGGAGAGGCACAGGGGGACAGAGCCAAGCCCTGGCACAGGGCCACGGGCAGCTCTCAGGACACGTTCCCAGCCCCAGTTCCCATCCCTGTGTGGCTGGCTCCTGGATGTGGGGTCGGTTTGGCTTTGGGATGCCCTGCTTTGCCCTGACACACATTCCATGTGTGGCACAGATCCAGGCCTGACTCTGGGCCAGCACTAATTGCTGCAGAGCAGGGAGAGGCTTGTGAGGACACCAGCTTGGAGGGACATCTCCCTGTCCTTCTGCAGCCTCCCACTGTGGCTGGATCCAAGACTGAAGAGCTGGGCTTTAAAAACCAGCACCTGGAGGAGCCCTGGGGCCAGGACAGCCCTCCCTGGGTGTCCTTCCCACTGCTGGGCCTGGTTCTCAGGGGAGCAGTGGGGTCTTTCCTGAGGGATGATGTCCTCCAGCACGGGCAGGTTGTGCAGGGCACACAGAGGCTTCCCTGGAGGGTTGTCCCTGGGAAAAATCTCTCCTCAGCCCACCACACACACAGGCTGAGCTCTGGGTGCTCCTCCTGGAGCTCTCAGCAGCACTGTGGACCATTCCAGTCTTTTTCCAGCCTTCAGGCCATGGGGGTGCCTTTGCTCCATGATTTCTCCAGGCAGACAGCATTTGCCACGTTCCCAGGAGAGCAGATGGCAGAAAACACTCCCCAAGGCTTCCTGTCCATGGCCCTGCCTCTCCAGAGGTGAAATGCTGCTCCTTCTGCAGGGCTCCAGCCAGGATTGTCACCATGGAAACACCCACCTGGAAAAAGCTCTGGCTCTGGGATTCTGCACACTCCAAACCTCGCCAGGGTCTGTCCTGGGCATTTTTCCATCTGGGATTTTTCCATCTGGGTGTGCAGGGCACCACCTTCCATCCCCATGGCCCTGCAGCTGACCCAGGGTGAGGAGTGTGACGTTCCATCTGTGTCCTCCAAGTGACATTCCCAGCAGGACTCATCCCAGTCACTGGGAAGCCTTGAAATCTGTTACCCACCCAAGCACTTAAAAAAGGAGGAGGAGGAGGACACTTAAGTGGAGATGTTATTGCCTTCTAGGAGCTGTATTAAAATTAAGATGTAAATTATAGTTAATGTCATCTCAGGGAAGAAGCTCTTGAAAGAACTGTCCTATTTTAAGGTTGTGGTGAAGTGTTGTGAGTGCACAAAAACTCTTTTTTATAGGCTGGAATTAGCAGCCAGATTCTGGCTGTTGCCTTATTTAGCACTTAAAGAGGGGGGGAAATGGTATTTGGTAAAAAATAACCACAAAAAATGTGTGGAGCTTCCCAAATCCCCTCAAAATGTGAGCCATGGAGAGCCAGGCTGGGGTCTCTTCTCTGAGCCAACAACAGCCTCCAGCCTTAAGTTGCTTCAAGGGGGGATTTAGGTTGGATATGAGGGAAAATTTCTTGGAAAGGGTTGTCCAGGCCAGCAGTGGGATCACCACCCTGGATGTGTTCAAAACCCATGTGGATGTGCCAGGTTTTCCTGGGAATCCTTCCTGGCCTCCCAAGGCTGCCCCTCAGCCCAGCCAGGCTCTGGCACGAGTGCAAGGCTTGAGGAGCCCCCAGATTTCCCTTCCAGCTCTCTGCATCAGCAAATTCTGCATTTCTGGGGTCCCAGGGAGTAGAAATCCCTCCTGCATGAGGAGAATCCCAGGAGTCTGTGGCTTAAGAATCACAGGATTCAAGAGGCTTAATGCCACATGGAAAATATTTTGGCTTTGCTGACCCCACTGGGTTTAGACCAGGCCTTCAAATGTGTGAAAGATGTTCATGTCTTATTTCTAAGACCATTAATTTCACTGATCAAGGTGACTGATGGAATCTTTCTGCCCTGTGTGCATCCCATTTCTCCTTTAAAGCCACAAAGCCCCACTAGATCCCAACCAAAGATCCTTTTTTTTGCCTCAAAAGCAGTTTGATGCTGGCAAAGGCAATGTGGATTCCTACTTTTGGCTTTTGTGCTATAGAGATGGTGAAATTAAAATGCTGTTTTATGCCCTGGCTCTCCAGATGGGGATCAGAGTTAGAGAAAGGCTGGGGCAGAGCTGCAGCTTTGGATTCACCTGGAAAAGGCTGCCCTGGGAGTTTGGAGTGTCTCTGCTGCAGGAGCCTGGTTTTTTTCTGGTCTTTGACCACCTTAATAGAAAAAGAAGAAAGCTTTTATTATCTCTTGAATCTTTCTGCCCTGTGTGCATCCCATTTCTCCTTTAAAGCCACAAAGCCCCACTAGATCCCAACCAAAGATCCTTTTTTTTTTGCCTCAAAAGCAGTTTGATGCTGGCAAAGGCAATGTGGATTCCTACTTTTGGCTTTTGTGCTATAGAGATGGTGAAATTAAAATGCTGTTTTATGCCCTGGCCCTCCAGATGAGTGATGCTGGATCCCTGAAGGGATCAGACTTAGAGAAGGGCTGGGGCAGAGCTGCAGCTTTGGATTCACCTGGAAAAGGCTGCCCTGGGAGTTTGGAGTGTCTCTGCTGCAGGAGCCTGGTTTTTTTCTGGTCTTTGACCACCTTAATAGAAAAAGAAGAAAGCTTTTATTATCTCTTCACCCAGCAAATGCTGTTTCCTGGAGCTGGAGCCTGGCTGGAGGCAGCAGATGGCAATTCTGCTGGAAATCCTTGGAAAGCACCAGCTCCAGCAGGGAGAGCTTCACAAATTCATTATCCTGGGCAAAGCAGACAGAGATTTAAGCTGCAAAGAAGATAAGAAGATTGTTTCAGCAATCCCATCTTTGCTGCCTTCCCAGTGGCACGTGCATTTCCCCACAGAGGGGTTGACATGGCTTTTCCAGGCATTCCACGTGGGATCCCCTTCCCACAGGCAGGGAATGCAAAACCTGCCTCTGCCTCGGTTGGTGCAGCCAGGATGAGCTCTGACAGCAGGATTGCACCCCACAGATTGGTTTGTCTCGTGGTCTGCAGCTGGGAGACCCAAAATCCACATGGGCAAAAGCCCTTCCAGGAGCAGACATGTCCTGAGCCCTCTCTCTGAGCAGGAGGGGTCACACAAAGCCCAAAAGCTGCTTTGCTCCTCCTGGATCCTGTCCTGGAGGACTGAGAAGGGAAATCCAGGGGCTTGCCCTCTTTCAGGAGGGTCAGTGTGGGAGTGGGGTCTCCAGGACCAGCTGTTGGCTCTGCTTTATCCTTGCAGGGCCTGAAGAGGCTCCAGGAGAGCTGGAGAGGGAGTGGGGACAAGGGAGGGAGGGACAGGAGCCAGGGAATGGCTCCCACTGCCAGAGGGCAGGGATGGGTGGGAGATTGGGAACTGGGAATTGCTGGCTGGATATTGTATTTGTGGGATGCCCTGGTGAAGGAAGGAATGATGACTCCATGTTCTCAGAAGGCTAATTTATTATTTTATGATATTACATTATATTAAAGAATACTAAACTAAACTGTACTAAAGAATACAGAAAGGATACTTACAGAAGGATAAAAAGCTACTAATGAAACTCATGACTTTTTCCAGAGTCCAGCACAGCTTGGCACTGATTGGCCAATGAGTGAAAACAATTCACATCAGAAACCCAGTGAAACAGTCACCTGTGGGTAAACAGTCCCTGCCATGGCAGGGCTGGCACTGGATGGCTTTGAAAGATCCCTTCCAACCCAAACCATCCTGGAATTGTGTGAGTCACCCCAGCAGGGCTGTTCAGTGCACTCAGGTGTCAGAAACTGGCACTGAATGAACTCCCCTGATACAGGAGTCCCCTCAAGCCAGGTCTCATAAGCTCTTGGAGATTTATGTCACCCTGAGACAGCTCAGCCACCTCAGATGGCATCAAATCAGCAGGATGGCTTCTGTGGCAGTGCTGAAGACAGAAAAGTTTTAATAAAAGGCAAAATAACAAAGCTCTTTACAGAGAAAAACAGAGCCAGGTGCAAGAGGCTTTCTCCTGGTAAAACACCTCACAAAAGCCATTATTTCCTTTGTTCTCTTCTTTTTCTAGTGAATTGCTTTGGCAGGACTTTTTGGCTTCTGTCCCATTGGCTATCCTTGAGTTTGAGGTGGAGTCCCCAAGGTCCTATGAGGTGTCTTTTTACCTAACTGAGGAGAGAAACCTTGGGCTTTTTTCCTTTTTTAAGGAGACCAAGGATAATTTTGTCACTCCCTCAACAGGGAGCACATTCCTACACTCCCCACCCTGACAGCAGCAGTGTTTGAGGCCAAAACCAGCAGGTGCAGGTGCAGCTCCATCTCAGAGCCATCCAGCACCTCCACAAGGCTCTGGACAATGTCCAGGTGCAGAGGAGCAATATGGGAGCTCCCTCTGCTGCCCTGTCCACCCTGCACCCCTCCCTCTCCCCAGCCTGCAAGCACCAGGCTGGGAATGCTGAAAGCAGCAAGGAATGGCTGCTCCCTAAAAATCTGGGGCTGTTCTGGATATTCTGTAATGGCATTTCACACAGATCCCCCAGGGAACAGGGACAGGATGAAAGGAACAGCCTCAAGATGCACCAGGGGAAGGTTTGGATTGGGCATTGGGGAAAATTTCTTTATGGAAAGGTTTGTCCAGCCCTGGCACAGCTGCTCAGGGGTCTCCATGCCTGGAGGGATCTTAAATCCATGTGGTGCTGGGGACATGGGTCAGTGTGGATTTTTTGGTTTTTGTTTTGTTTTTGGGGTTTTTTTGGGTTTTGTTTTGGCTTTGTTTTGTTTGTTTTGGTTTCCTTTTTTTTTTTTTTTGCTTGTTTGGTTTGGTTTTTTGTTGGGTTGTGGTTTTTTTGTTTTTTGTTTTTTGGGGTTTTTTTGTTAAGCCTGAGGTTAAAAGTGCCAGATGGAATTTCTTGTTTGGACTCAGATGTTTATTAGTTCTTACCTATGTTACAGTCTCACAAACCCTGAGTTCTACAGTACTGTAGTTTAACAAATTAAAAATGGAGTCGTATCTCTCTCTCTACAAGGCCTTTTAAGGATTAACTGTTTTATTAAGCAATGACACCTAAATTATTTTTACCTTTAACTCAATAACTAACTACTATGTTCCTCAATGTGGACTTTTTTATTTAATTACACAATGTTACCTAAACTTATGAAGAAGAAGGATTAGCTTCTGCTTTAAAACTTCTATCTTGTTTTATATATATATTATTACATTTTTAAACTTTAAGCTCAAAGTTTTTTACTATGTGATATTACACACTTCTATTCAAACTCCACACCCATAATCTCAGTTCAATTCTTTAATTTTTGAAGCTTTTTCTACAGCCTCAGCTCAATGCAGTGTTCTCTTGGGGGTCAGAGTCTGTCAGCACAGAAAGTCTGGAATTCTCAGCCATTCCCAGGGTTCCAGCAGGTCAGTGGTGGCTTTGGCAGTGCTGGGGGACAGTTGGCCTGGGTGGTCTTAGAGGGCTTTTCCAGCCTGTAGGAATCTGTGCTTCTAAGCTGCAAGGCTTTTTCTTCCTGCTAGGTGATTAAGTAGAGGTGATTAAATTTTAATTAACCAGCACGTGATGGCACTGATGGCCCTGCAGGAGTCACCCCTGCTGGAAGGCCAGGTTCCCTCACTGTGCTTCCTTTCCCCTGCCCACCCTCAGACAGGAGTGCTGGCAGGGGGTGCTCAGAGTGGGCATCCCAGCCCTGCTGAGCCCCTGGAGCAGCAGGCACTGAGCTCCCAGGAATGCTCATCCCTGTTAATTGCAGCTTTCCCCATCTGGCTGCAGCTGCCAAGCTCATCCTCACAGCTCATCCTCGCTGTGGCACTCCACGGAGCTGCACAGCTTTGTTCAGTGCCAGTGGAGAGCTGTGCACAGCTTTTTAAAGCTCTTCCAGGAGTAGAAAATAAAAAATCTTCTGTGAGCGTTTGAGCACATGCATCCAAGAATAAAATCTCTCTTCCTGAGCTGCTGTGCCAGTGAAATCCTGGACCTGCAGAATTCAGTGTTAAAGAGCAGCCAGCTTCAAATAAATCCTTGTGGCATCCAGCCTGGACCCTGTCCTCCTTGCTGTGCTTCAGGGAAGGTCAGCAGGGCCCTCAGGCACCTGCAGACCTCACTCTGGTGCTGCTCTGCTGGGATGCTGGGATGTGATCCCTTGGGGAAGGAGCTGTGAGTGCAAGAGGTGCCTTAATGTGGAGCTGGGCAGCCCCAGGCTGAGCTTGGATTGATTTATTTATTTATTCCTCTCCCTGGAGCTTCCCTCCCTCAGAGCTCATCCCCAGCCTGTGGAGCCAAGGAGGGAGTTCTGCAGCGTGGTCCCTGGAGCATCTCCAGCAGATCCTCAGGGATGGGGCTGGGAGAGGTGGTGTCCATTCCTCTGGCAAAGAGCAGCTGCCAGGGTCCCTCCTCATCCTCAGGGCAGCTGCCCCAGGGCCAGCCCCATAACCTGGCTGCATGCCAAGGGTGGATAGGGCAGCTGTGCATCCGGGGAAGTTGGCATCTGCTTGGCATGGAGCTCAAGAGCTGCCCTTTGGAAGCTGGCTTCATTAAAGGCAGGGCATGGAGCTGCCCTCCTGCTTGGATAATTATGTGTGTTAATGATTTTGGGCTGAACAAAGCTGGTTAGAACAGGTTGTCCAGAGAGATTGTGGATTCCCCATCCCTGGCAGTGCCCAAGGCCAGGTTGGACAGGGCTTGGAGCAACCTGGGATGTGCAAGGTGTCCCTGCCATGGCAGGGGGTAGAACAAGATTCATTTAGGTTGGAAGGGACCTTAAAAACTTTCTGGGATTCTACACTGTTGTTCCCTGTCGGGACCCAGGACATTCCTCTGGCTGCCCTGGGTGATTTGAGACCCTGGCAGGGGGCTCAGAGACCTGGACACGGAGTCACAGACACTGTGCCTTTGATTTTAACCCATGGAGACAATTACCAGCTTTGTGTGAGGATGTACAGGCCACAAGAGTTTGAGTAGAATGATAGTTAATTTGTCACAGGGTGAAAAAGTAGAATTTTGGGGTTTTAGAATGAGGGTTCAAGAGGCAAGATGGAGGAATCTGGGCCTGTCCTGTCCTTCTTCTCCTTCTTCTTCTTGCCCTCCATCCTCTGTGTGATGGTGACACTTCTGGACTGGTTCAGAGTGGAGACAGACTGTACAACATAGGTGACAGGTATTGGGAAATTATTGTAAATAAGGTACACGTAGTTCTGAGTATAAAAAGTTAACACCACCCCAAGGGCAGGCAGTGTGCCACAGCCAGACCTGCAGGACAGATCTCAGCAGGTCAGGGAAAAAATGTAAGAGATAAGAGAAAATAAACAACCTTGAAAGGCAGAACGACAAATCTCGACTTATTCTTCAGTCATGGGGCTGGGAGAAAAGAGACTTTCTGATACCTCAGGGGTCATCACAACCACTGCAACCCAAGAGTTCCCCGGGTTCTGAAGGGTCTGGAGCTCAGTGTGCGAGTCTTGGGCAGTCCTGCCTCTCCGTGTGACCCTGCTGTCCTTGTCCCCTGCAGGTGGTGCGGGACCAGATCTCGCACTGCACGGTGAAGCTGCGCCAGACCACGGGGCTGATGGAATATTGCCTGGAGGTCATCAAGGAGAACGACCCCAGCGGCTTCCTGCAGGTCAGTCTGGGGTCTGGGGGATGCAGCAGGGCTGGGGCTGTTCCAGGGGGGACGGCCCCATAACATCAAGGATCTGCCTCTGGCCACCTCCATGTTCACAGCAGGGCAGGAGCAGGGGCAGGGCAGGGACATTTCTGGAGGAGAGGGATGCAGCAGGGAGAGGAGGCTGCATCTCTGCAGCAGGGATCACAATGTGCTCGTGGCTCTCCACTGAGACACCAACAGACCAGGCATTCCTGGGCTCCCCTTGGTGTGAGAAATGGAATTGTAAAGGATTCTCCAAGCCTGACTAAAAGCTCACACAGCCTTGTACACGTGTATGCAAACTCTGAGACAAGGAACTCTGAGACTTAGGAAGGCCATGGAATGGAGATTACATTGCTGAGAGAGAGACTGAACTGGAGACAAGTTTTCAAACTACAGCCTTGCAAAAAGACCAGATATTTTGGAGAATTAGAACAGTGAAAGATGCATTGTGGGGAAAATAATTAGGTGAAGTATTGGGGAGAAGTATTAGCAGCATTGTGTGGCAAAAGCTAATAGGTTTTAAAACATTTATAAGGTAATAGGTTGGCTTCTAATAGAATGGCATTGAGTTTTACACCTCTTGTGTCTCACCCTTCTACGAGACTGGTAATGGAATAAAATCTTGTAAAACGCCTCCTAGCTGGCCCATCTCTGTAAAGCTGGGGTGGAGGAGTGGGTGTGGAAGAGATAAAGGAAAAACTGCCCAATTAACAGAAGAGAGCTGCCATACAGATGGCAGATAGAATACAATTTGCTTGGCAATCCAGGACACTTCCCAAAGCTCAGCCCTGCTCCTGCTGGGAGCTGCCAGGCAGCTCATCCCTGGGGAGGGGCAGAAAAGGAGAGTTTCTCACCTCCTGTGAGAAATTAATTTGTAGAGAATTCTCAAAGCTTAACAGAAGGCTGATGTAGAGTGCATCTGTGTGGAAACTTTGAGATAAGGAATGCTGACTTAGAAATGCTGTAGAGTAAGACAAACAAATTATTAAGAGAAAAATAGAACTGAAAACAAGTTTCAAAGGATGTCTTTGCAAATTAAACTAAGTACTTTGGAGAAATAGAATGATGAAAGATGCATTGTAGTAGGACTCATGAGGGGTAATTTTAGATAATTGGCTTTAAGGCATTTACAGCATGGTGTGACAAAGGCTGATAGGCCAAGAAACACTTAAAATGTATTGTAATTAGGAAATAGTTGTCTTCTGATTGTGATGGTGTGAATTATAACATCTGTATTGTCTCACTCTTCACATGAGACTGAAAATTGAATAAAAGTTTTAAAACACCTCTCAGCTGCCCCATCTCTAGGTCAGAAAAGGGCCTAATCCAACAACCTCCCAGCAATACTGGGCACCCCAGGCCCAGAGCTATGCCCGTCCCTGTGGGTTTTGCATCCCTGGGCAAACCATCTGCCTCCCTGCCTTGGATCCCTGGGCATCTGTGTGCCAGAGCAGGGTGCCAGGGGGTTGGCTTTGCCTGGAAAAGCACTCCTGCTGCATTAAAAATGTATTACTGCATTGAAAAGTGCTCTGACAAAGTTATTAGTGCATTGAGAAGTGCTCTGCAGGTTGGGACCTCTCCTTTGAGAGCAGCACAAGGCTTTTCCCAAACCTCTCCTCACATCCCTGTGCTGGCTCAGTGCTGAGCAGCATCTGTCACACAGCAGATGTCCCTGCAAACACAGCCAGGTCACCTGGCCTGGGCTCTGCCCTCTCTTTCCTCACCTCCCTGTTGGTTTAGATCATCATTTTTAATTTCTATTCCATTCCATGTCATTTTATTCTATTCTAGTTGTATTTTTCTCTATTTCCTTGCTGTTCCCCATCCCCTCTGTGCTCCTTCTCCTGTCCCACCAAGGGCTGCTGCAGCCCATGAGGAATTTGGGGTTTGGCAAGCCCAGGGAAGCTGACAGAGGTGCAGAGGGGCTGTGACACAGGGAGGCTCAGCACAGGAGGACCCTGAACCTGGGCTGCACCTTCAGCTGCCTGGAGGAACAGCCACCAGCTGCAGGTCTGGCACTGCTCTTCACCCCCACCACGGCTGGAATTGCTGTCCCAGGAGCTGCCTGCACTCACCAGGGTGTCCCAGTGGCCAGGGACAGGAGGGATGTTGGCCACACTCTCCTGTGTCACCACGGGGAGCATCCTCAGCTGATGGTGGCAGTGAGGAGCTGCCCGTGCTCGCTCTTCCTTAGCCAGGCTGTTCATCTGAAATGTCAGGAATATTTCTGGATAGCAAACCCAGGGAGGGCTGGATTGCTGTTTCACATTCCTGTGTTCCTGCCCTCCCTTCCTGCAATTTAGCCCAGAGGGTTATTTTTAATTAATAAGAGCAAATTGCTGCTGGTTCAGCCGCCCACCCTCCTCTTATCAAATCCCTCATCCCAGCTCACCCTGGCTGTGGAAATCAGTTGTTGGTTTTGTAGACTTGCAGAAGGTTGGGTTTGCATCCCAAATCTGTGTCACAGCACCAGGGGAGGGAGGGCAGCACCTGAGGTCTCAGTAAAGAGCAGTGAGCAACCCCAAGGCATCCCACACCCAGTGCCAGCCTGGAGGATCCAGCCCAGGAGGTGGAGCAGCCACAGAGGGTGAATGCTGGGCAAATCCAGCTTTTTCCCAGGCATCCATGGCTCCTCCCCATCTTGTCTGGCTTCTCCATGTCTGCTTCCACTGGCTCTTGTCACTTTGGGCAGTGAGGATGAGGATGGTGGGCGAGCAGCTCTTTGAGAGATGTGTCCCTGTGCTTTTCAGAGCAGGAGTGGGCTGTGGGACACGTGGAGATGCCCAAACACAGCAGGAAAATCCCTGGCAGTCCTTTCTGTCCCCTGTGCAGCTGATGGCAGCCAGAGGGGGTACTCAGCCCCCCAGTTTTGTTGCAGTGGATTTATTGAAGGGAAAAGCAGGGCTGTAGGTAAATCCAGACCCAGAGTTCTGCAGAAGCTGCGGGAGAATTGTCCCAGGTTTGGGACTGGCTGCATGAAAGGTCCAGGCAGCTCCAAGCAGACACACTGTGCTGCCATAATTATCCAAGATTAATTAGAAAATGGGAATAAAGCAGAAAAGCTTCACCAGGCTGGTGGGAGAAAACTCCTTTGTGCTTCCTGTGCTGCCCGGAGCTGCCTCCCCAGGCAGGCAGCGAGCGCAGGCTGCATCCCGCAGGGTTGCACTAATTGCACTGATTGGTGATTAGTCTCGTCCCCAGTGCCGGCCCCGCCGATCCTGCAGCTGGAGGAGTGCTGCACCCACAACAACAGCGCCACCCTGTCCTGGAAGCAGCCCCCTCTGTCCACCGTGCAGGTGGAGGGGTACATCCTGGAGCTGGACGATGGCAACGGGGGCCAGTTCAGGGTAAGAGCTGCAGAGGGGTGTTCTCCTACAGGGATTCCCAATTTGAGCATTTGTCCTCTTTTTTTTTTTCTCTTTTTATTTTTTTTTTCTTTTTTTTAATTTTTTTTTTCCCAAGTCTCCTCTTCCCTGCTGGGTTGCCCAAGGAAGCAGATGGTGCAGACAAGCTGTGGGGTTTTGGGCTACAGGAGGATTTGAGGGGGTGCAAATGCCTTTCCAGTGGCCACGTTGACTTGGAAACTCCAAGAACAAGTTTGAAGTTCTTGTTACCCAGAGGAGCTGCCCCTGGATCCCTGGCAGTGCCCAAGGCCAGGCTGGATGAGGCTTGGAGCAGCCTGGGACAGTGGGAGGTGTCCCTGCCATGGCAAGAGATGGAACAGGATGGTTTTTAAGGTCCCTTCCAACCCAAACCATTCCATGAAGGTCCATGTTTTTAGGTTGCTGAATATTTCATGCAAGGTATGTTAATTGCCTTGAAAGCCTCATGGTTTGCCAGCTGCCAGCAAGGCCTGAGGGCTTTTAAATTGCTGTAATTACACAATTAAAATATGATTTTTCTCTGATCCAACACGCCAATAATTATCCTGGCGTGTTCACATCCACGGAGAGCAGGCACAGGAGCAGCCCACTGCACTCTGAATTTATCCACAGTGAGCTCAGGCACTGCCAGAGCAGAGTTGAGGCAAAGGAGAGGTGACGTGGGTGGGACCTGGAGAGAAGGCAGCAGCAGGCTGGGTGTGGGGAGAGCACAGTCAGTTCATCCCCAATCTCCCACCCATCCCTGCCCTCTGGCAGTGGGAGCCATTCCCTGTGTCCTGTCCCTCCATCCTTGTCCCCAGTCCCTCTGCAGCTCTCCTGGAGCCCCTTCAGGCCCTGCCAGGGGCTCTGAGCTCTCCCTGGAGCCTTCTCCTCTCCAGGGGAACATTCCAAGCTCTCCCAGCCTTGCAGCAGCTCCAGGGCCTCCTCTGCACTCCCTCCAGCAGCTCCTCCTGATGTTGGACCCCAGGTTTGGGACAGAACTCCACGTGGGATCCCAGCTGAGCAGAGCAGAGAGGCAGAACCCCCCTGATCTCCTGCTGGTGCTGCACCCAAGGAGCAAACCCCATTAGCCTTCCCCAGCGCCCCAGGGAGCAGGGCAGGGGGGATGCCATGCCCCCCAAGTTGTGCCAGGCTGTTCCCCAGCCCTGGCACCCACAGGAGGTGTTCCTTGCCTTGCAGGAGGTGTACGTGGGCAAGGAGACCATGTGCACAGTGGATGGGCTGCACTTCAACAGCACCTACAGCGCCCGGGTCAAGGCCTTCAACAAGTCAGGAGTGAGCCCCTACAGCAAGACCCTGGTGCTGCAGACCTCCGAGGGTAAGGAATGGCATGGACACAGCCCAGCACAGCCCAGCTCAGCCCCCTGCCCGCCCTGAGCCCCCCCTGCAGCAGCAGCAGCGCTGACCCCAGGGGGAAAGCTGTGCCACAGCCTCCAGCACAGCCAGGGCTTCCCTCTGAGCCTTTCCCTGAGCAGGGAATGTTCTCTGGGGGGGCACAGGGGGAGTACTGAGTGCAGGGAGACCCCAGCTCTGGGAAAGATTGGGGTCTGACTCCGTGATTCAGAATGCTGAACAATTGTTTTATTAAGCTATACAATATTTCATTAATACTGTACTAAAGAAAAACCCACGAGCAGCCAGGACACAGCTTGGAGTGATTGGTTAATTAATACAAACAACCATCACCAGCATCCAATTACCAAACCCCTTCAGGTAAACAATCTTCCTGACACATTCCACATGTGCAAAAACAAGAGGAGCAGTGAATAGAGATAAGAAGTGTTTCCTCTTCCTGTGTTTTCCAGGACAGGTCCTTGGGAAGTTGTGTCTGCTTCTCTCTGGGAAGAGAGGTGTTTAAATTTGGGGTGATGTGGCACAAAAGGGAAGCTCAGATGTTTCTATTGGACCCATTTAGAGCAAAACACTGCTCCTGAGAGCTGTGCTTGACTGCACAGTGCCATAAGCACAGGATTCAGGCCTGGCAGGGCAGGGAGCAGTGTGGGTGTCCTTCCAGAGCCAGGGATGCACAGCAGCCCCACAGCATTGCCCCCACACCCACTCACAATATTAAAACACTCCCTTGCAGGCTGCAGGGGGATCTCCCTGCCTGGCTTTAAGTACATTTGTCACACCAGGCACTTAATCCTTTGTGGAAAATTGGTTTATTCCTGACGTGCAGGTGGAGAGTGGCAAGGCTGGCTCCGAGGTGGGAGTGGGGAGCTGCAGCTGTGGAGGAAGGGATCAGCCCCACCAGCACGTCTGCTGCCCCACAGCCAGGCACAAAACCCTTCTTTGGATTTTCCACGCTCGCTGGAATCCCTTTTCCTTGCTCCCAGATGAAAATCTCTCTTTTCCAAGCCATGTGAGGGTTTTTCACAGCAGCATCCAGCTGGCTGCCAGCTGGGATCAGAAGGGAGCACACACAGCTCGTGGGGTGCTGGTGGGGTGGAAGGAAGGGCAGAACCACTGAGCAGCCCTGGGGGCTTTCAGCAAGGAGAAAAATGGGATTTTTGCTGAAGAAATAGAAGACAAAAGCAGAGCAAGCTTGTTGCTCTTAGGGAAACTGAGCTAGTCTCCCTTGCTGCCTGCAGATCACCATTGCAGCTTAGAAAGGGCAGGTCAGCAAGGAATGGGATTCATCAGAGCTAGAGCAGACAGCAAAACTGTGACAGACTTCTCACAGGAGAGGCACGGAGGTCACAGCACAGCACAGAGGCCTTGGCACATCTGTCAGAGACACCTCAGTGCCTGTTTGCAAACTGAGCACCAGCAGCAAAGGAGCTGCAGAAGTTCCTCTGGAGATCCAGGCAGGGCACAAGCTGCATCCAGCCCCGTGCCAGGCTGGCCACGACTGCTCCCAAAGCCTGAAGGTCAACAGCTCCCACTCCAGCCTGAGCAGGAGACAGCAGAGCTCTGACTTCTCATCTCATTCGTGCCTCACACGACACATTTGAGACACAATTTCCTCATCAAAACCAGTTGGGCTTTAAGTTGTCCCAGCCAGGAGTTCACAGGGTCCCCTCTATGATCTTCCCAGCTTTGATTTCCTCTCAGAGGTGTTCTCACCTTGAGCCCAGCTCCAAAATACAAAGGAATCTGGGAGAAAATAGCTGCTTGTGAAAATAGCTGCTTGTGGTCCCAGCAGGGCTGTGCTTGGGCCGTGCCACCAAGGAGAAGTTCCACTCTCCTTGGCTGCATTCATTCAGCCTTTTCACTTGAATGAGCTCTTGCATTTGTTATTCCAACACAAAAACAAAAAAAAAAAACAAAAAGAAAAAACCAAAAAAAAAAAAGGGAGAAAAAGTCAAACGGGCCTGGAGCATTTTGTGCTCTTAGAGGCTGCCTGAGCTCTTTTGGATTCAAAGAGAAATAAATCACATCTGTGTGTGCAGCTTCCGGATATCCCAGTGACTCGGTGAATGGAGCACATCACAGCCCTTGCTTAGGCTTTTATTCCTGCCTTTTACAGCAGCATCAGGCCTTCTTAAGAGCTATTTTGTCTGAAGTGGGTTCAGCTTTTCCCTTCAGCCAAGCTCTGCAGCTTCCTGCAAAGTGGTTGTGTGGGAAGAGAGGACAAAAGGAAGGACGGGCTCGCTGTGAAGAGAGCGTCTCTCAGAACGCGGCTGCCCTGCTCTAAGTGGTTGTGAGGAGTTCTGGTATTTAGGAGCTGCTTTCTAGCTCTGGCCCATGAGATCTTCAGCTGCAGCCTGTGGAAGGGAACTGAAGCCTTTCTTCTGCTTTCTGTGAGCAGAGGGTAGTGGGGAGCAAAAGGTCTTGCAGGGTTCAGCATTGAAGAGAACAAGGATGAGGAGAAGGGGATGTGTGTGGGCTCTGAGGGTGCCAAACAGCCACAGGCAGCCAGGGGAAAATCCCATGGGAAGGCAGCACAGGCAGGAGTCTGCAGCAGGAGCATCTTCCCAGCCCTGGGAGAGGCACCTCCTGCTCATCCCAGAGGAAAGGATTGCAGGTCACTCTTCAAAGCTGGTTCTTGGTGCCACCAGCAGGACAAGGTGGCTCCTGGCTGGGAGCAGGTTTGTGCTCCAGAGCCTTTCCCGTGTGCTGGGCCTTGCCAGGGATGAAGATCCCTGTCACCAGCACAGCCAAGGGGCAGCAAGGGTTGAAGGTGACATCCTTCCCTTGAACTGTGTCCCCTCCTGAGCTGATCTGGGGCTGTTCCACACAATCCCTGGGAGTGTCTCTTGCTCTGTCACATCTCAGCCCAAGGCTCTGCCTTAACCTCTGTTTCTCCAGCACCTCAGTGAAGCTCAGCTGTGGGCTGGGGAGTCTGGAAGAACATTTCCAAGGTGACCCAGGCACAGACATGTCCCAGAGCTTGGCTGGTGGCAGCCCTGCTTGGCTGCCTGGGGTCTCTCCCAGCCTCCTCCTCCCTGAGCTGGGCATGCTCTCCTGGTTTTCCCTCATCCAGGAGATTTCCTGGCCTCTGGCCAGACTCCTGCTGACCTCTTGCCATGTTCTGGGTGTCAGGATGAAGGACCAACCCACTCCAGGTGGAGCTGGAGAAATGGAGCTCAGCAGTGCCTCCCAGGCTTCTCTCCAGGCACAGAGCTTCCTCCTCCCTTCCCCCAGCCAAACCAAGCACCAGAACCTTTTCTTTCAAGCCCAGCTCCTCATCTGGGGCTTTAAATTCCTGACCATCCCTGGCGTGAGCCTGAGCAGCAGCCAGGGCTTTTTAACCAGCAGCTTTTGGAAAGGTTGATCAGCCTGCAGGGAGCTACAGGGGTGTCAGGGGCTAATTAGGGAGCACAGCTACTCGTGGTAGTAGTTCCTCTCACTCTTGGTAGGGTTAGAAGCTAAACTAATAAACAAACTTTGAGCTCTGCTTATTGGCTGTTGTGCAATAATTTCTCTCCTCTGACCCCACTGACACCCTTTGCTTCCACAGCCTCGGCCACAGCAGCAGCGAGTTGCAGAAGTTACACCCCACCATGCAAAGAAATGTTCCTTTTTGACCTGTTTTAACACAATTCCCAGCTCAATCCATACTCACAGCAGAGCTGGGAAGGCTGGGGGATGCAGTGTGAGTGTGTGGATGGTGGATTCTACATTTTCATGCTAACATAACCCTGGAAAAGGTTAGGGAAGAAACTGTGGGAGGTGACTGTGGTAGCAGGGAACAGAAACCAGTGACCCAAGAGGTTCCTTCTGCTCTGCCATTTTTGCTGTGAATCCCACGAGTTCAATTCTTGCTGTAAGGCTCAGATGTGTTTTGACAGGTACAAAGGGAAACCAAGAACACAACCTCCCGAACAACCCTTGAGTAAGGTGGGTGCTTGCTGGTTCTCAGGGTGCTGGAGCTTAGCACAGCCCTGCAAAATGTCACCAGCTGGGTTCTCCACCCCTGATGATTGTGCACAAAAAGGTTTGGGATGTGTTAAAGCACGACGGGACGTGTGCATGGTAACCTGTGAATTTTTTTAGGTGCCTTTCTGTGAAGAGGTGCAGGACCCCCCCCTTTACAGAAAAGCAGTTGAATTTGTCACGCTGCCACGGGGACACTTGGGAAGATGAAGGTGTTTTCCTTGCTGTCAGGCTGCCCTGAAGGGTCTCTCTGGGCTGCCCAGCAGCAGCCAGTGCTGCCCTGCCACCAGCAGGGTCTGTGCCCTGCTCTGAGCTGGGGAGTGAGGCCGCCCAGCAGAGAGCCCATTTCTGATCTGCAGTTTGCCTTCATCTTACGTTTAGACACGCAGTCAGAAGAGCAGACCCTCCCTTTTCCAGTGCCTTTGGAAAGATCGCAGCTTCGTAGGATGAGTCCTTTCTCCTCCACCCTTAATCTGCAACCCAGCTTCTCGGGGAGATCCTACTTTGAGCTAAGATCTTCGGCCCACCAGCTGAGCTTGCATTCTTCCTTACAGTCCCTGAATTCAGCCGGTGAGCTGAGCACCTCTGGCGTTGCCTCTTGCTCTGTGCTTCTGGGCATCTCCAAACTCTGTTTGTTCTGTTCCGTTGTGTTTGTTTTTCCCATGACATGCGGATGGCAGCGGGAATTCTTTCTGTTTGTCAGTGGCCTGCTCCTGCCGCCCAGGGGGTCAGTGGTGTGGTTCTCCCGGGGTGTTTCAGGTGTGGGCTGATGGAGCAGCACAGTAATTCCTTACCTGGGTGCTGCTCTTGGCAAGGCTGAAGCCTTTGGTGATCATAAATCCCTGAATGGTTTGGGTTAGAAGGGACCTTAAAGCTCATCCACTTCCAACCTCCTGGTATGGGCAGGGACACTTTCCTCTAGAAGATTCCTCATTTCTGGTTTGTGTTGAGCTTGTGTCAGGGGTTAATCAGAAAAGGCATTCCCTGGGTGAAACCTGTGGGAATAACCCCCTGCTTTCATTTCGGAGCACAGCCAGGAAACGCAGCCTCTGCTGGGAGATTGGTCTGTGAAATCAGTTTGGTTGATTAAATCTAGGCCCCTCTTAAGAAAGAAGCAAGTCTGGATGCAGGCTCTGGCTTGCTGCTCAGAGGACTCCCCATCCCTGGAAGTGTCTGTCCCAGGCCAGGCTGGAGCAGCCTGGGATAGTGGAAGGTGTCCCTGCCCGTGGCAGGGCTGTGGAATGAGGTGATTTGTGTCCCCTCCAACCCAAACCAGTTTGGGATTCTGTGATTCCAGCTCACAGCCCGACTGGGCCTGGAGCTGTGGGCTCTTTTCTGCTCAGCTTTGAGCACCAGGCTCAGCTTTTCCAAACCCAGGTGTGGCCATCCCAAAGCCCAGTTTGCTGCAGAGCAGAGGACACCACCCCTGTGATGCCTCACCAGCCTGGCAGCCCCACACGAGCGCTGGCTTCGGATCCGTGCGCCCGGAATGGCGGGCTGTGCTGGGATGGAGGCAGGTCAGGCAGAGTGAGGGATGGATTTGGGCAGCCAGCAAGGAGCCACAGGGATCTCTCAGAGCTGTTTTCTAACCAATCTTTGCACATCTTCTGTTGCTAAAGATCCTGGGCCCTGATTCTTCCACCACTCTGGATTTACACCGCTCCAAAGGCGTTCATTCCCGGCTTGCTCCGGCGTAAGCCCTGGAAGAATGGGGGCCCCCGATTGTGTGACTTCCATCCCATAACACGGAATGAGGAATGCTGCAGCATGACCCTTGCCAGAATAACCAGGGGGGGACCCTGCAAACTTTCTTTTCTTTGTGCTTTTTATGTTTGATTTCTCATCGTGCTGCTGTGAGCTGATGGCTTCCAACGCTGTTTTGTTACGGACGTTCCTTCCTTTGTGTCCGGCGTTCCGGGACCCTTCCGTGCTGCCTGTGAGCCATACCCGTGTGTGCACCTTGGACCTTCTGCAGCCCCGCTCTGGGGTGGGGGGACAGGGAAAAACGGGGTCCTGAATGCCAGAACAGGGTCTGTGTGTCCCTCACGAGAGCCTGGAGCGCAGCGATGCGCGGAGACCTGGAGAAGCGGTGTTGGAGTAGGGGCACGGGGCAGGACTCATTAAAGCAGCCTCAGGAGGAGCCTCTTGGCACAGCACGGGGCACAACCACAGCCAGGTGCTTTCCACCAACACCCAGGGCAGGAGGGGAAACCAGGCACAGAGCTGGGCAGGGGTACCCTAAAATCCAGTGCCAGCACAGGGCTTGTGTTGGTGTCTCCTCCTGGTGAGGACAAGCCCCTAGGTCAGAACAAGCTCCTGGATCAGGACAAGCCCTAGGTCAGGAAAAACTCCTGGAACAGGACAAGCCCCTAGGTCAGAACAAGCTCCTGGATCAGAATAAGTTCCTGGATCAAGACAAGCCCCTAGGTCAGGGAAAACTCCTGGAACAGGACAAGCCCCTAGGTCAGAACAAGCTCCTGGATCAGGAAAAATTCCTGAATCAAGACAAGCCCCTAGGTCACGACAAGCTCCTGAATCAGAATAAGTTCCTGGATCAAGACAAGCCCCTAGGTCAGGGAAAACTCCTGGAACAGGACAAGCCCCTAGGTCAGAACAAGCTCCTGGATCAGGAAAAATTCCTGAATCAAGACAAGCCCCTAGGTCACGACAAGCTCCTGAATCAGAATAAGTTCCTGGATCAGGACAAGCCCCTAGGTCAGGGCAAGCTCCTGGATCAGTCCCTGGCTCCCATGGGTGCTTGCAGCCAGCAATCAGGCACAGGAGCATGAAGGGCACCCCAACACATCCTGTCCTTGCAGCTGAAGCTGCAGCCCTTTGAAAGGGGTCTGAGGCAGGTGTCAGCCCCCAGGGGTCCCCATTCCAGCTCCATTCCAACCCAGACCCATCAGGAGCTGCCTTTTCCTCAATTCCTGTCCTTCAAGGAGTGGTTTTTCAGTCAGTTTAGAGAATCTTTACCAAGCAGCCAAGATACTCCACCAAGGCTAAAATTTCTTGCCTTTTTTTTCTGGAGAAAAGCAGAATAATTTGGTGCCCTGAGCAGTCAGACTTTATACAGTCCACACGCAAACTCCCAGGCTGTGTTTGCCACCCCTCTCCGTGCCCTCTGGCTTTTAATGAATCAGGCCTCCCGTGGCTGCTGGATGCTTAATTAACAATGAAATGCTCACGAGTGTTTGTCAGGAGGTTGTTGTTCCTTAGCTGTGATGTGTGAAATGTAGTATCTCTTTATAGGATGCAATTTTGACACACAAGGATCGCCTTACTCCCAATTAGGCAAGTATCTTAATTACAATTAACTGGCACCTACTGCGTGTTGCTTCATTCTTTTTGCTTTTTTATCTTTTCTTTGGTGACTGAGCAGCATTTCTCACTCATACCCTGCTTGCAGAGCACTCCTGGATGTGACAGAATCATGGAATTGTTGCTTGGAAAAGCCCTCTAAGACTGAGTCTAACTATTCCCCAGCAGTGCCAAGGCCACCACTGACCCATGTCCCCAAGTGCCACATCCACAGGGCTTTTAAATCCCTCCAAGAATGGGAACTCCACCACTGCCCTGGGCAGGAGGCAAATTTGGAGAAGTTATGGTGCCTGAATGATGTAATGGCATTTGGTTTTTCTCCATATGGGTTTAAAGAGAAGCCTGGGGTCAGTGCTCTGGAAGTGGCCCTGTAATTGAGAACTGATGCTTCTGCTCTCCTCTTTTAAACTGAAAGAGGACAGGGTTAGGTTGGATATTAGGAAGGAATTCTGGCTGTGAGGGTGGGCAGGCCCTGGCACAGGTGCCCAGAGCAGCTGTGGCTGCCCCTGGATCCCTGGCAGTGCCCAAGGCCAGCTTGGAGCAACCTGGATAGTGGAAGGAGCCCCTGCCCATGGCAGTGGGTGGAACAGGATGAATTTTCAAATCCCTTCCAACCCAAACCATTCCATGATTCTCAGTGCACATCCCTGCTCATTAAGGCACTTGAACGTGGGCCAAATGCCATGGATGCAATTAGCCCCTTTGCAGCTAATTAAAGCAAGGTGGCTGCTGCTTGCCTGTCCTCTTCAGACCGTCTGCAGGGCCAATCCTGCTCATTCTCCTGCAGCCCTGTGGGATTCCCTCCTCACCCTGCACCCTCCCACAGCCCCAGCCCATCCTTGCGCCTCTCGCCCCACCTTGATGCAAAATGCCGACAGATCCACGCTCTGGCTGGAGTCACAGACAAGCAGGAATGGTTTCTCCTTCTCTCCCCTACCCAACCTGACGTGCTGTTTTCTCTCCCGCATGCCTCTCCCTGGGAATGATCACAGTTGACATTAAAAAAATGGTGGCAGGTACGGCCCGGCCGTGCGCGGCGCGGGGAGCGCGGGGCGGCCGCGTGCATGGCAGCTGTCCTGTCAAACCTTCCAATAAACACTGAATCAGTCTCACCCGAGTGGTTTTCTTCTTCAAGCCGCCAGAGTGTTCTGTTGGATGTGTCAGTTCACATTTTCAGCTGGAGGAGACCGCCTGGGGAACCGGGCTGGTGGCTTGTGAATGACTCGCTGTCCCTCTGTGTTGTCGAGGACGTGGCACTGTGTCTGTCAGACCAAGTCCTGTGCATTTAAACCAGCAGCCCTACAGAATCCTGGAAGTTTTGGGGCGTTTTCCAGCCTTCCCATGAGTTCTTGTCTTAGGTGTGGCTCATTGCTTGGCAGGGAGGTTTCTTTGTGTGACTCAGTAAATGAAGACCTTTGTGTGTGCTTTTGGTTCCCAAAAACAGCCCTTAAATACACACAGAGTTTATCTGCTGATCCTCAGTTCCCTTCCCACACTGATCTGACTCTGCAAACTAATAACACTCAGTCCTGAGAGTAAGTTACATTCCAGGCCAGGCTGGACAGGGCTTGGAGCAACCTGGGATAGTGGAAGGTGTCCCTGCCACAGCAGGTGTTGGAACAAGATGGGCTTTAAGATCCCTTCCAACCCAAACCCTTCCACGATTCCATAATTCTGTTAGAGCCTGGAGACCTGGTGACCATCACACCTCCTGCAAGGGCCAAATTTTAGGAGGCCTTGAGGATCCTGCAGGCTCACGAGCTGAGACACTGGGAACCATGGAGCAGCGAGAGCGAAACTCCTGCAAGTCCTGGCCATAAAACCTCAGGCACACTGGCAGCTGCAGCCACAGGAGCTCAGAGCATCCCTCCTCCGTGGTGGAAGTTGTCTCTCTGTGGTGGAAGCTGTCCCTCCCTGGTGGAAGCTGTCCCTCCGTGGTGGAAGCTCCGTGTCCTGCATGCAGCATGCCCTGTCCGTGTCGCTCCCCGCGGCCCCGGCGCGTCCCCACCGCGCTAACCCCGCCTTGTTTGTGTGTTCCAGTTGCTTGGTTTTCTTTCGACCCCTCCTCTGCCCACGCTGACATCATCTTTTCCAATGACAACCTGACTGTCACCTGCAACAGCTACGATGACAGGGTGGTGCTGGGCAAGACGGGCTTTTCCAAAGGGCTGCACTACTGGGAGCTGTCGATCGACCGCTACGACAACCACCCCGACCCGGCCTTCGGCGTGGCCCGCATCGACGTCCTCAAGGATGCCATGCTGGGCAAGGACGACAAGGCCTGGGCCATGTACGTGGACAACAACCGCAGCTGGTTCATGCACAACAACTCCCACACCAACAGGTAGGTGGGCAGGCATGGGAGCTTCCCCCCGGACACCACAAAGAGCCTGTGGCTTTGAGAGTGGCACCTGCAGGTGTCCCCGGGGAGGGTGACAGCAATCGTGGTTGTCTCTGTTGGAGGATGTGACCTTCCCCCAGTGGGGATCAGGCTCTGCATGTGGGTGCTGCCTTGTTCCAGTATTGCTTCCCTACCCCACCACTTTTTCTATGCTGACTCTTGCTGTTGGCATCCCCTTCCCAGTAACAGCCAAACCCTTGCAACTCCTGCAGCAGCATTTGCCTTGATCCCTGAGCCACTGCTCACGTTCCACGTGGGACTGGGGAGAGCCTGGGGTCACCTTCCTGCAGCCCTGAGGGCCGCTCCCTGGTGGATCAGCAGGTTTTGGGGTGGCTTTGCTCCACAGCTCCACGTGCTTTCCCCCGTGGTTGTGTGGCTGTAGCTGCTCTCAGGGTGGCTTTTCCTTGGGGACACAAGGCAAGAGGCGAGCAGCTCCACGGGAGGGCAGAGGAGGAGGCTCCCAGGGAGTGATGAGCATGGCTGGGATGGGAGCCTGGCTCCTGGGTGAGCTGTGTTCACATCATCAGCCCTTGAGCTCCACGGCCTGATCCAGGAGCCTTCTCCTCCCACAGAACCGAGGGCGGGATCACCAAAGGCGCCACGGTGGGAGTGCTGCTGGATTTGACCAGGAGGACTCTGACCTTCTCCATCAACGAGGACCAGCAAGGGCCTGTGGCCTTCGAGAACCTGGAGGGCCTCTTCTTCCCCGCCGTCAGCCTCAACAGGAACGTGCAGGTACGGGCTTGGTCGGGCTCTCTGGAGCAGGGGGTGGCATTCCCAGCAGGGGGAAGGGGTGACCCTGCTGTCACACTCCCACTGCAGTGGTTGCTGCTCAGCAGCAGGAGCAGGAGGGTTCTTGTGCAGCAGGAGTGGCTTGGAAGGAGCTAAACTTGCACCCCAAGCTACCTGTGAGTCTCCCAAATCAGGACAGGCCTCTCTGTAGCCTCGCTGCCTGCTCCAGGTTCCTCCCTCAGGGCTGCTGAAGCACCAGGGAGGTTCCCCAGCCCTCCCTGGGGTGGGGTTTGATAACTGTGTTTGTGGTGCTCCCTCCCAAGAGCCTCACCAGCTCCTACAGCTCTCCCAGGTCCTGGATGGCAGCATCAGCAGGGAGAAGGGCACCTTTCAAAGCCTGTTTGCCTCTGGGACATTTCAAACCCCTCTTCTCTCCCTCTCTCCAAGCTCTCAGCTCTCCTGAACCTCCCCAAGCAGTGCCACCCTGGGGCAATCTGGTATTTCCATCTTTCATTTCCCTTCTCACTGGCCACATCCCTGCTATGCTCTGTCCCAGGGAATCCTGCACACCCTGGCTTTGGCACATCCCCCTGGCACTGCCTGCACCTCCAGCCCTGCACAAGTGCCCAGGCACACCCAAGGACACGTTGCACGTGAGGGATCATCTCAGGGTGCCCAGCATTTTGGCAGGGTCTTCTACAGTGGGTGTCAGACCTGGAGAGGGACTTTAGAACAGAGCCTGGAGTGACAGGAGCAGTGGGAATGGCTTCCCAAAGGGCAGGAGGAGATGGGATATTGGGAAGAAATTCTGCCCTGGGAGGGTGGGCAGGCCCTGGCCCAGGGTGCCCAGAGCAGCTGTGGCTGCCCCTGGATCCCTGGAAGTGTCCAAGGCCAGGCTGGACAGGGCTTGGAGCAGCCTGGGATGGTGGAAGGGGTCCCTGCCATGGCAGGGGTGGGATGGGATGGGTTTTGAGGTCACTTCCAACCCAAACCATTCTGGGATTTTATGATCCCCTCTGTGCAGGGGCAGAGGCACCAAGTGGCCTCTGTAAATTAGGGATCCATTAGGATTAGGACATGGTGTGCCTTATCCATCAGGATCCAGGGCTTGCTGCACTGTCACCAAGGCAGTGACAGTTTTCCAGCAGCACTGGGACAAAGATGTGTTGGGACCATCCCAGACTTTGGGAGCATCCTTGCTGAATTTTCCCACCCCAAGGGTCTCACTGGCATCTGTCTGGCTCGGAGAAGGGCTGGGAAATGTTTAATTAGGAAACACTAATGAAGCCCATGTTGTCTGTGCTGGGTTTGGAAGTGCTGTATTAATTTGGTGAGGTAAAAACATCCTGCTGAGTGCTGGGTTTAACTCCTGCCTCAGTCCTCCACACAGCCATAAGGGACAAGGCATCTCTGGAGCCCCTTGGCTTTGTGAGCTCCCTGAAGGCAGAGCCTAAATCCCCTGACAACACAGAAATCCCTTGGGATGCTGATAAAAGGCTGCTAATTAAGCCAAGCCATTTATTATGCTTTTCCAGAGGTATGTGCCTAATTGAAAACAACTCTAATTAGGAGGAAAATCTCTATTTTAGACAGTTTTCTTCAAATCTGTACCTGAAGGGGGAAATGCTGCTGCTGCAATAAAAGGAGGAATTTGCTCTCCTCCCAAATGAAAGCATTTGTGGGGGGAACAGAATCTCACCAGTGCCTGTGTGAGCATGGCCCTGCTCATCAACACCCTGATGCTGCTCAGCTTCCCCACCAGCAATCAGCCCTCCACTGTCCCTGTCCCCTCTCTGTCCCCATCCCCACTCAGCTCAGGGGCTTCTCCAAGATCTCCTCTAATGTCTTCACTGTCCTTCAGGCCCCTCCATCCCCTCTTGTCCATCTCACCTGCACAAAGACCCAGCTCGTGCCGTGTCCCACCTCTCTGGCAGCCAGCTGTGGGATTTGTACACAGCCAGCTGGGAATATCTGGGGCTTGGCACCAGCAGTCCCAGCTCGCTCCAGCAGCACAGAAAAGTGAGGAGCCACACTTCTGGGGACACCTGCATCTCCGCTCACATCCTGCCTGTCCCCAGCGCTGCTCCTGCCCTCTCTGGGGACAGTGTGCCAGCTGCCACGCCACGGGCTGTCCCAGCAGGCACACCGGGACACAGCTGAGGCTGTCTCTCCCCGCAGGTGACGCTGCACACCGGGCTGCCGGTGCCCGAGTTCTACGCTTCGCGCTCGGCCATGCCCTGAGGACGCTCCCGGAGCCGGCTGCCTCTTCTCGGGATGAGAGGAGCCAGCCCGTTCCCTCCTGCAGGACACGGCTGGCCTGCCCAGCTGCCGGGTCCCTGCCCAGCTGCCGGGTCCCTGCCCAGCTGCCGGCTCCCTGCCCAGCTGCCGGCTCCCTGCCCAGCCTCTGGCCGGAGATGGGGAGGAAGATGAGGAAGGAAGATGCCGGCTCTGGGCCCCTCCGCTCCCCGGCCCCGCGCTGTCCTGTGTGTGTGCGCTTCGCTCTTTAGCTCTCCTTGGCTGATGAAGTACCTAGGTAGCCTGAGCTGTTTCTCCTGTGTCTGCTTTTAGGTTTGGTTTTCCTGGTTTGAGTTGGGGTTTTGGGGGAGGGGGGCAGTTCTGGCTCGCTTTCCCCGCCCGTGGGGCCAGCCCGAGGGCCCCCACCACGGGAACGCTTCCGCCCACGCCAGCCTGGTTACTTTGCAGGATTCTTTCTTTCCCCTGTGGCCTTTCTTGCAGAGCACCCTCGGTCATGTGTAGAGGTGGGTCCTGGATTACCAGTCAGTCTCCATGTCCTTACCAAAACTCTGTCCCGTGTCCCCCTGGGGCGCCTCTGCGGGGCAGGGGGTGGCCGTCCTGTCCCCAGGCGCTCCGGGTGCTGGCAGGCCCTTGGTCGGGTGCTGAATGCCCACGGGGGGCTCTCCAGGGGCCCCCCACACCTCGGTGCCAGCACACGCGCCACAGCCATAGACCGGAGAGCCCTCGCCCGGCTCTCTGGAGATTAGTGTTTATTTTTTTATAGTCGCCATATAAACCTAGCCTTAAATTCAACTGATAGTGTCCTTCCAATCACCGGAGAATTTGTTCTGCAGTGAGGGTCTGACAGAGAGCCCGGGGGTGGGGATGGGATGGGATGGGATGGGATGGGATGGGATGGGATGGGATGGGATGGGATGGGGAGGAAGGAGAGCTGGCCACAGCCCTGCCACGCACTCAGGAACGGCAGCAGCTCCCGTGGGCCGCCATCCCCTGCTGGACTTTCTGGTAATCCAGAGGCAGGAGAGGACCCCGAGGCGAGAGCGCCTGCGTGCGCTGTCCCCGGCTTCGCTCTGCGCTCCCCGCGGAGCCGGCACGGGCAGCGGGATCGCTCCCAGGCCGCAGCTCCGGGCGGGATGCCACGGGAGCGCCGGCCCGGCAGAAAGACAAGTGTAAATAGCCCATTCCCTCCCAGCGTGCCCTCCTCCAGGCCAGTCCTGTACATGCCCTCGTTGCTCTAGCGTTAGGTTTTCCTAATTTATTGGATGGGTGCTATCTCGTTGACTCCCGCCGAGGAGTTCCCCCCAGCTGCCGGGGAGCCGTGTTGCGGGACAACGCCGGGCAGCTCCTTGGTGGACCCCTGAGGAGCCCCTGTGGCCGGCTCACCCGGGGCTCCTCTCCCAGCCGTCCTCCCCCGTTCTTTAGGGTGTTCATGGTGCTTCTTAGAGTCCCAGTGATCGTAAGACGTCGTCCCCCCGTTGCGCGATGGTAGCTGCACACAGCCGCTGTACTGACCACAAGTGTCACGTTTGCCGTTCTAATAAAGGACTTTTACCAGAGAAGGGCAGAGCTCCCAGAGCATCTCTGTGCTTCGCTTCCCGTGCCGTCCCTGCTGGTGCACATCCCTCTCTGTCCTTGGCCAGAGGCAGCAGCAGGGATCGCACAGAACGCGGTCAGTGGGAGGGAGAGGGCCATGGGAGCAGCTGGAAGGAGGAATTCTTGGCTCTGAGGCCCTGGCACTGGTTGCCCAGAGAAGCTGTGGCTGCCCCTGGATCCCTGGAAGGAGGGAGGAATGACCCAGGCTGGATACAGAGCACCATCTCCCCAGGGAGATGAAACAGAGGCAAAATTCTAAGGGATCAGTGGAGGGGGAGCCATTTCCAAGGGAACAGTGTGGAGAGTGCTCCCAGGGCCGTGAGAAGGACTCGCTGCTGGGGTATCAGGGCCTGCTCTGTTCTCCCAGAGTGACTCAGGAGAGGTTTTCAGTGTGCAGCCTCTGAGCTCATCATGGGCTCCAGTCCAGGGCTAAAGAAGAAAATGCTAATGCATGAAGTGCATCTCAGAAGGATGCTTGTTCCTTCCAGAGTGGGAATGTGCCCAGAACACCGGAGGTACAGGAAACTGCATCTTCCCTGCAGCATGTAAAACCAGCCTGTAAGTCATGTACAGCACGGGGAACAGCCCAGGGCCAGAGCATCTGTGCCAGTGGGACAAGGGGGAATGGTTTCATACTGACAGAGGAGACATTTAGATGAGGTATTGGGAATCAAATCTTCCTTGTGAGGGTGGTGAGGCCCTGGCACAGCTTGCCCTGTAGCTGCCCCATTCCTGGGAGTGCCCAAAGCCAGGCTGGACAGGGCCTGGAGCAACCTGGGCTAGTGGAAGGTGTCCCTGCCCATGGCACCGGGTGGAACTGGATGATCTTTAAGCTCTTTTCCAACCCAAACCATTCCATGATTCTGTTACTCTCTGGGTGGAAGCCAGTGCATGGGTGTAATCTAATCTAATCCTGCCCTCTGGCACTGTGAAGCCATTTCCCCATCCTGTCACTCCAGGTGTTCCTCCAAAGTCCCTCTTCAGCTCTCCTGAGGCCCTTTTAGGCCCTGTCAGGGCTGTCTGAGCTCTCCCTGGGGCCTTCTCCTCTCCAGGGGAACATTCCCAGCTCTCCCAGCCTGGCTCCAGCCCTTGCAGCAGCTCCAGGACCTCCTCTGGACTCGCTCCAGCAGCTCCTCCTGACGTTGGACCCCAGGGCTCGATGGGGTCTCACCTGAGCGGGGCAGAGCAGCACAATCCCACTTCCTTGCCTTGCTGCCCACCCTGCTGGGGATGAGGCCAGGGAAAACAGCCTGGAAAGCCTGCGGGGCCATGGCTGGAGGAGGAGGAGGAGGATAAGGAGGAGGGGGAGGAGAAAGTGCTGCGTTGGAAGCTCATATCGGATATTTTCGCCCTTGGGAGGAACCGGAGGCAGGGCAGGGCAGGGTCCTTGGGGCAGCCGGTGCGGGTGGCAGCCGGGAAAAGCCATCCCACGCCATTCCCAGAGGGACTGCGGGCAGGCAGAGAACAGTGAGGAGACGGGGGGGAAAGGGAGGGGGCCGGGAAGTGCTGCGGGGGACAGCCGGGCAGGAAGGGGCCGCGACACGGGGACAGGACCAGAGGGGTGGGACACCTGGGACACGTAACACAGGGACACGGCGATGGATCGTGACGCGGGGGGACACAGCACGACCCTTTCCGGGTTTTCCCGACGGGAAGCACCTTCCTCGTACGTGCTCCGGGAGAGGCTGTCCGGCGGGCGGGGCCGTGCCGTGCTGGGGCGGTCCGTGCCAGGGGCGGCGCTCCGGGGATGCGCTGCGCTCCGCTCCGCCCTGCGGGTGCGCCCGGGGGGCTCCTGCCCTGCCCCGGCCCCTCCTCGGCACCTGCCCCGGCACCCCCCTTGCACATCCCCCCGCGGGCCCCGTTTTGCGCATCCCTCTGAGACCCCCAGCATCCCCCCTCTGTGCCCCTGCGAGTTCTTCCTGTCTTTTGCGCACCCCTCTGTCCATACCCGGGGTGCCCCTCCCTTGGCACGCTCCTCTGTGACCCTCGGGGTCCCCCATTTGCACACCCCTCAGTGACCCAGCCAAGGGGCGGTCCCCGGGACACCCCCCGGCCACGTTCCTGGAGTGCCCCCTTTGCGCTTCCCTCCGTCCATCCCCGGGATTTCCCCCCCTTTGCACCCCGCTCCGTCCATCCCCGGGATTCCTCCCTTGTGCATCCCCCTCTATCCATCCCCGGGGTCCCCCCCTTTGCACCCCGCTCCGTCCATCCCCGGGATTCCCCCCTTTTGCACCCAATTTGTCCATCCCCAGGAGGATCCCCGGCTTTGCACCCCTCTCTGTCCATCCTCTAAGATCTCCCCCCTTTGCACCCCCTCTGTCCATCCCCAGGATTCCCCCCCTTGTGCACCCCCTTTGTCCATCCTTGGGATTCCCCCCCTGTGCACCCCACTCCGTCCATCCCCGGGATCTCCCCCTTGTGCATCCCCCTCCATCTATCCCCGGGATTCCCCCCCTGTGCATCCCCTCTGTCCCTCCTCGGGGTCCCCCCTTCGTCCCCCGGTGGCGGCCGCCGCTCCCGCCCCGCTGGTGGGCGGCCCTTGGCGGGGCCCGTCCCCTCCCGTCCCCTCCCGGGGCGGTGCCAGCGCGGGGCGGAGGCGGAACGCGGCTCCGGAGCCCAGCCCGAGTGTCCGTGTGCCCCCTCCCCGTGTCCCCGCAGCCCCGCCGCGATGTCGCGGCCGCTGTCGGACCAGGAGCGGCGGAAGCAGATCAGCATCCGCGGCATCGTGGGCGCGGAGAGCGTGGCCGAGCTCAAGCGGGGCTTCAACCGGCACCTGCACTTCACCCTGGTCAAGGACCGCAATGTGGCCACCCCACGCGATTACTACTTCGCGCTGGCCCACACCGTGCGGGATCACCTGGTGGGGCGCTGGATCCGCACGCAGCAGTACTACTACGAGAAGGATCCCAAGGTGGGAGCGGTGGGATGTGGGGGGAGCCCCTCCGTGCAGGGCGGGGTGTGGGAGCCCCCCACGGAGGGTCCCGGCTTGGGGCTGCCGTGGGAGCCCCGTGGATGGGAGCGCTCCCTCCGCGCTGCAATGGAGGGATTGGCGGGGTTCGGTTTTTCGTGGATTTAGGGCTGTTCCGGGAACTTTTCCGAGAGGAGGGACTGGACTTTACCAAGCGAGGCCACTGTCCTTTGCTCTGCAAAACAAACAGAGCCCGGCTCGGCCGGCAGCGGGGTGCAGGGCATGGGAACGCCGTTTGTTGTCCCGCGGCGCCGGCGTGGGTGCTGTCTACCAAAACCAACTCCAAAGCCTTCCCGGGGGAATTATTGGAAAGGCTTAAAGGCACCCGAAGCCAACCGCAAGCAGGTCTTGTTCAACACGAGCGATGCCAAGCGTGAGCGATCCGGTTTGTGCAGGAGTTGCCGCGCTGCTGCTCGTCCCGCTGCCCTGCTCCGGGCTCTGCCGCGGGGGGATTAAGCCCTAATCCCCCTCCTGACACCTGGGCGTCCCTGTCGGCACCAATTTCCTCCCTGCCAGCGCCTCGCTGGGGCCGTGCCAGCCGCGGTAGCTCAGCGCTGCCCCGTGTTCTGTAGGGCTGAGGAAAAGGAGCCTCCAGCAGGGTTTGGGGCTGGGGCTCTCCCGTGCGAGCCGGGTGCTGCTGCCTGGGGTCGCTGCTCCCGGCTCTGCTGGAGTCAAACCAGTAAATCCCAGTGGATCCTGCCCAGCACATCCTGCCCGTGACAGGAGCGGTGGAACGAGGCGATCTTTGTGCTCCATCCCGACCCGACCCAAACCATTTCAGGATTCTATCCCACCTCCAATCCCCGCCCGACCCCGCAGGTCCTGGGGAAAGCTGTGGAGTCAGCGACTTCCCCCAGCCTAAATCCTTCCTTAAAACCTGCCGGTGCTGACGCCGGGGCTTACACAAGGCCGGACCGGCCGCATCCGTGTCAGCGGCAGTGTCCCCTGCTGTCCCCCATGTCCCCACAGCCACCGGCAGCTCGCTCGGTTTTCCGGTGGCTTTGCAGCCCGGAGTGACATTAGGAAACGGCTCCTCTTTACAGTTTAACTTGGTGCTGCCACCGTCGTGGAGCTGTCCCCGCCCTGGGACAGGGCAGCGGGGCTTGTCCAAGGGGAACAGCCTCCTCCCGGTTTGGGAAGGAGCAGGAGAGCAGGGCAGGGGCTGCAGGGCCACCCGGGAGCCACAAGCCTGGAATTCCTGGTTCAAGCCACCCTGCTCTGTTGAAGCTGGGCTTTTTTCCTGTTTGTTTTTGGGATATCACACCACAGCTCCAGAGGAGCCTCCTCCAGCCCTGGGCACGGTGACCACGGGGTGCTTTTCTCTTCCAGAGGATTTATTACCTCTCCCTGGAATTCTACATGGGGCGGACGCTGCAGAACACGATGATTAACCTGGGGCTGCAGAACGCCTGTGACGAGGCTGTCTACCAGGTGAGCATCCCACGAGGACCTGCCCTGGGAGGGATCCCTGTTTTCCAGCTCCTGGGAATGTCCATGTTTCCTACATTGGCTTTAAACTGCTCCCTGAGCCACGGGGGATGGCTTAGGGAATAAAGGCTGCTCCAGAGCCTGCCCTTGAAAGGCCTGGAGCTGCCCAGCCTGGCTGCTGTGTCCTGGGGAAGGCAGCAGGATCCTGGAAGGACCCTGGTGGTTCTGTGGGTGAGGCTGTTCATGTCCATGATCAGTGGCAGGGAGGAATAAAACCTTGAATTAAGCCCAGCTGGGTGCTGGCACCAGGTGGCACTGGGGTTATCAAAGGGTTTTGGGTGGCTCCTTTTGTCCCCACCCTGTCACCTCTTGTGTTGAACATCATCAGATGTGGCCAGAGTGGTTGCACAAGGGCAGGAACAACTTTTGTGCAAACACTGCAAAGGAGAGGAAGTTATTTTTAGGGGGGTTTAAATTTTTTATCCCCACTTGCTGCGACCAGGGAACATCAGGGCAGGGAAATGGACCAAAGGTCTCCACCTGAGCTCCCCAAGGAGTTTTGCATAGGCA